GTCCTCACGTGGCCACTTTTCTGTACATGCATGGGGAGGGGGAGGGAGACAGCACACTCGCACCCTCCTTGTCTCCTCCTCTTCATATAAGGGCACTAGTCCTGTTGGATTAAGGTCCCACCCTTATGGTCTCACTTAACTTTTATTGCCTTTCATAGGCCTTATCTCTTAATACAGTTGCACTGAGAATTAGGGCTTCAACCAGCTTTGCATTTTGAGTGGACACAGTTCAGTCTGTAACACCTTCCATCTGAAGAACCTCGTGGAGAATGGTTGTAATAGCTGCTTTAAAAATCCTCGATAATTCCAACATCTGTGTCATCTGTGACAATCTGTTGACTGTCTTTCCCTTGACAAATGGTCAGTGTCTCCTTATTCTTTGTATGTCACCTAATATTTTGGATCTCTTTACCTGTTTGTTTTACCAACTTTAGTTGTGGCTTCCTTGTCACCTTATGGTCAAAAATGGATGCTGAACCTGTAGACATCACACTCATGATTCAGGTGGCAGGAATAAAGGGAAGAGGTGGGACAAAAGAAGCTTTCCCAGAGGCCCCACCTAATGACTTCTATGTCCTTGGCCACCTCTGTCTGCAGGGAGGCTGGGAAATGCGGTCTTTCAGTTGGCCTCGATGCCTAGTGTTCTCTTACCAGGGAAGAAGGGAAGGATGGATTATTGGGTAGGGAAATGACAAAATGACAAATACAAGTTCTAGGCTTACGTGTTAAATCTTACCTTTCTCTGCAGTTTACCAAAGTGAAATTTTGAGTCTGTCAGCAGTTCTACCCACAGATGTTACCTATTTTATTAGTGATTTTCTCTGCCAGCATTCTTCTCTGGGCCGTCATGCTCAGTTGCTAATCTTGTCTAGGTTGTTAAGTTGTTTGTAAAACACTGAGTGACTCATTTTGTGGGGAGGGATGGACAATGTTTGTCTCTAATGAAGAAATGAGCTCTTGTGCCCACCCAGCTCTGAAGTGAGACAGTTCAGGAGAATTTTTAAGTAGTTTCTACAGTCTCATCGCTCTTAGACTAGGGGGACTGTATTTGATCTTGGCATTGGATACCTTTTAGTTTTGATTACCTTATTGTCTTGCTACTCACATATATAAGATTAGGTAGTTTATTTGAGTCCTGTTAGGAAAATAGAAACCACATTTCATTATTTTAAGAATTCAGTGTAGGAAATTGATTAAAAAGGTTTTAGAGGAGTGGAAAGCAAAAAGGGAACACTGAGACAACACAGATGATAACTAGAGGAAGCAGCTCCACCCCTAGGGCTAGGGGTGCAAAGGAAAGAGGTGTTGGGATCATTAAAATCTAGGCTATCAGAGGGACGGCCCCCATGCAGCTAGAGCTCAGATCTCTGAGGAGAGGTCACCAGCTACCATAGGAGCTCAGAGGAGGGGTCCCAGGGAGCTGGGATTTATTTCTTTGAAGAGACGATGTAACCTGGCTGCTGCTTGCACCTCTGAGAGTGCATGATGAGTCTGATTTGGGGAATATGGAAGCTGGAAACTGGAACCAGTTATTACTGCCAGGTGACATTGAGGTAACACTGCCAGGACAGCAAGCCCACAGGAAGAATGGAGTCCCTTCAGCCCTCCTTCTGCCTTCTGGTTTTCCTCCAGTGCCCCTGTCGACAGAGCCTAACAGATAGAGGAGAAATGTGTTTTATGTAGTCTCAGCCCCATGTCACAAAGTGTGGCGAGTGGACTGGTGCTGAGAGCTGAATAACCAGCGAGGGTGGTTTGCTTTGTGAGTGAGAGCAGCCCTGAACTTCTCTTAGAAACATTTCAGGACAGGCATACATTTAGACCCCATGATTTGTTCTTGGAAATTAGTGGTGTGTTGGCCCTTGTGGTAGTGTTACATATAACTTTGGTGTCTTCTGAGTTAGGTTCTTACCATGTGTAGGAAGTATCCAAGCCTTAGGCTCAAATGTTTCTTTGAGAAATTATTCTTAGACATACATCAAAGGGTCAGGGTTTCCCTAGGCTTTTCCCATCTCTTCTTTTAGGTTTTATGTGTTCTTAAAGGTTGACTGAAGTTTAAGTTTTGGGGAGTGGGTGGAGCAGGCACAAAGCCTGTTGGTGGTTTATGTGTAGAGAGAAGAACATGAGATGTTGCGTTAGGGAGCCCTAGCTTCGTGACCTTAGGCAATGTATTTGACTGCTGTTAACTGTGGTTTCCTCATCAGAAAAATACCGATAATATCACCTACTTCTCACAGTTGTTAAAAGGACTGACTCATTAAATTGACACTCATATATAGTACTTATAATCCTAGGGCAACCACTGAGAAGAAAGCTTTAAAAATATGATAAAATGGCAAGGGAATTAAAATAGGGCACTAGAAAATATCTGTTTAACACACTAGGGGACAGTACTGGAGAAATTGAGGAATAAGAAGTATGACCGAGAAAACAAATAGCAAGATGGCAGAAGTAAGTCCTTCCTTATCAGTAATTACCTTAAGTATAAAAGATGAACTTCTGCAGTTAAAAAGCAGAGACTGGCAGAATGGATTGTACAACAGGTAGCTGGATTTTTTTTTTTTTACAAGAGACTCATTTGAATTGTAAAGACACAGGTATGTTTAAAGTAAAAAGATAGAAAGAGATACTCCATGCAAACAGTAACCAAAGGAGAGCTAGCATAGCTGTACTAATAGATTTTAAGACAAAAATTGCTACCAGAGCCAGAGAGGGACATTGGATAATGATAACATGGTCAATCCATCAAGAAGGTGCCTAGAACATAACTAAATAAATAAACACCCCTGCTGCTGTTCTACTCTCACTTGCCATCCCATAAACTAAGTTTAGTTTAGATGCTTCTCGTGCATGGTAATCCGACACAGACACCATTCCCTTCATAGTGTAGAGGCCTTTTTGAAATCCTAGGCTAAAAGCCTGCTCTCACCTGATGTTGCATTTCTCTCTGCCGCATAGGTACGAAGATGCTTTAGTCCTCTTGCTCACGGAGGTGCTGAATCGAATCCAGTTCAGATACAACCAGGCCCAGTTGGAGGAGTTGGATGACGAGACTCTGGATGACGATGTAAGCAACACCCCCGATTGACCTTAGTCATTGCCATGCTGTGGTGTGAATGAAACGGAGACTTGGGACCTGTAGCCCTTTGCTCTGGAGACTGTTTTTAAGCCAGAGTAGTCTTAAAGTTTGAGTTATGCATTTGAAATGTATATCCTACTGGTTTCCTTGGGTTCATTAACTGTTTTAAGAAAAGAAGTTTTGCAGGCATTTACCTATATAGACCAGAGATATAAATAGAGAAACCACATGTACAGCGAAAAATGGTTTAGTAAGAGCTCTGGATCCCTCCTATTTCTCCTACATTGCACCCAGACTCTGGCAACAAATAAAAGTTAGCTGGATGCTGGTGGAACTGGTTAAAAGAGATATTTAAATGATAAGGCTAGAATGAAAGGAAGTCTTCTTTGACTGTATTTTGTAAACTGATATCTCTTAAAATTAATCTTGAATTTATTGATGCTGGTGTGCCCAACGCTGGTAAGGAAAATGTCTTATAAGGACACAACCCAGTGTCCCTTAACCACCCTGCATTTAAAAATTTTCAAGTTGCTGCTATGGCTCTTAAAATAACAGTGATTGTGGCATGATCAAGACCTTGAGGGCAGCCATACTTGCGTTAGAAATAGCCCTGTACTTGGAACCAGATGGCCAGGTTTGAATCTCTGCAACCTTGGGAGATGGAGATCTGGTCACTGAATTTCTCTGAGCTTTAATTTCCTCAGCTCCTAAAAGGGGAAGGATATATCTGGCTGACCTGTGTTGACAGTTATGTGAAGGTAATACATGTGGGTATACTGGCTCTGTGCCTGGTGGGTAGTAGGAGCTGGGTAAACTTTGGCTTCACTTCCTGTTAACTGTCTGATATAGGCCAGCGAATCTCATATTTTAGCATGGGTAAGAATCACTAGAAGACCTTGTTAAACAGACTTTGATTCAGGAGGTCTGGGGCGCAGCCACAGAGCATGCATTTCGGCAAACCCCCGGGAGACGCTGAAGCTGCCTGTCCATAGACCTTGCTTTGCGCGACGCTAGTGTGGTCAGTTTTGCTTTCTCCAGCTTAGTAATGGGCTGTCTCAGAAAGTAATGAATGACCAATCCCTATAGCTGGGATGACGTAAAGAGGACTCGAGCATTTCACAGGTGGCTTTTTAAGTCTCTTACTCTTGTGACAATAGGGAGAAAAGAAGGTCATTCTATGGGATCATTTGCTTTTTGAGGAAATAACTTCTTATGAAATTAATTCATTGGATTAAACAATTTTTTTAGCTTGGCCTTTTTAAAGTACCAAATAACCTGGTTTCATTATTTGTTATTCAGAATATTTATGTCTAAGGGTGGACTTGAGGTTGAGGACAGATTGGCAGGGAAGATAAAGAGACTGTGCCTGCCTGGGAAAGCTGATCCCTCTGTGTTTCCCCTGCAGCAGCAAACAGAGTGGCAGCGGTACTTACGCCAGAGCTTGGAGGTAGTGGCCAAAGTGATGGAGCTCCTTCCCACACACGCCTTCTCAACACTGGTAACTCAACCATTTGGAGGGGAACAAAGAGCCTAATTGTTTCCCTGCATATAGCATGAGTAGTAAGGCTTTTTTTGCTCACCAGTATTATAAAATACATATATTTTAAACAGAGAATAGTACTTACCATAACCGATCCTCAAATTTAACGAATGTTAACATTTTCCCAAAATATTTTAAAATCAACTTTTAGAAGCCCTGCTTTTCTTTCCTAATCTCTTGGATATAATGTGTGCTAATGCCTTCATGCTTTCATCAGTAGCTCGTAAGTGGCAAAGCCAAGTAGAAAATTTACCTATAAAAATTACGTTGCTGGAAAGCTAGCCTTTAGAAAGTTTACTCTTGGCAAATTGCTGGGCACTCTTATGTTTATGTGCAAGCACCTTTAGTCACAAGGATTGATTTCATTCACTAAGTGATGCTTGTTATTTGAGGTGATTTCATTAAGTCCATCTCTCCTTCAAAGGCAAGATGACTTATTGGAGCCAGCTTTGCATTGCACAGTCCAGCTGTATCTTGTGTTCTCTTACGGAGAGTGCCATTTTATTTTGCCATCTGCCTTTCTGTAATATTAAAGGCTTAATTTTATCTTCATGGTGAGTTAGCAGCTTTAGAAAGAAGGATACAGCTCTGGTTATGAAGGTCCCTGTCTGCTAAATGAGTAAGGCACACTGACTTGCAGATAATTTGGCTGTCTTTTCACTGTGCCATGCACTTTAATAAGACTTATCTGCTGCTTCTTTCAAGGGCAGGGTCTCCCTTGGACTTGAAGGGAGGTAGGCCCTGTCTCAGAGCTCTAGAAGGTGTAGATCATTTGGGGGCTTGATGTCCTTTTTTAGGAACATAATAGTGATAATAATCATACCCGGCATCCAGTGCTTTGTTTAGAAAAAGAGTATCAGGCTGATATGTTATTTTCTTTCTTAATTCAGATATTAACTGATGCTTTCAATTGTAGAAATTGTTGGGGGTGGGAGGCACCGAAAGCTCTTCTTAGCTACGTGTAGAGGTTCCCAGAGAAAAGTTTTTTGTCCTGCTCCCCCCTTGCCCCCAGCCATAGGTACTTCTTTTAATGTTGAAATGCTATTACAATTCACATTTTTGGTTTTTTTTTTTTTTAATCTTTGTTTCTTTGTTTTCAGTTCCCAGTTCTTCAGGACAATTTAGAAGTTTATCTGGGGTTACAGCAGTTTATAGTTACTTCAGGGTCAGGTAAACTGGTTTTTATTTTCTAATTTAACCAACATTCAGAAAAAAGTGGACTAATATTTAATTACTGCCTTCTTTGTTGTCAGAACACCATTTCTCCACTGCCCCTTCCCCGCGGCTCCATCTCCCTCCGTTTCTAAACAGAGAAAATTAAAAAAAACAGAAAAACCCATAAAACATGATACAAGGGAGCTGTGGGGGAGGTAAAAGATGGGGCTGAGACAGTATATTCTAAAGAAGTGTTTCAGTGAAAGAAAAGAATCTAATTTGGAGCAAAGAGGAAAGACTTTTTTTTTTTAAACCCTAGAAATTAGAATATTTCTCTGTCTTTTAAACCAGCAAGAAAAAATTGGCCTTGGACTTTCCTGCGATGTATTCTTCTGGCCTTTAGGGTCAGGAGGACATAGGAGCCACTCAGGACTCAGGGAGCTGATCCTAGGGATTGTTAGCTCTCCTGTGTAAATGGCCCTGGGAGGCTCTGACTGTAGCGGGTTGAAAAGGCTTTGGCTTGTTGTTTGCAGGTTTCACCAGCTTGGGATTTAGGGTTAGTATTTGTGGTTATTTTGCTAATAATAACAACAATAACTTCTATTTGTAGAATACTCATTACATACCAGGCACTGTATTATTCGCTTATGATATCTTAATTTAGTTCTCTGAACTGTCCTGTGAGGTGTAAGTGCTAATAGTAGTTACCCTGTTTTATTTACAGAAGAAGAAATTGATTTTCAGAGATGTTAGTTTACCGAAACTCACATAGCTGTTAGTGCTGGTCCTGAGATACCGTCCCCAGTATAATAGGGGATGATTAAAAAGTTCAGTTAACCAAAATCTGACATTCATTCTGCCAGCTTAAAATACCAGAAACTTAACATTGTGCTTGCACACACACACCTGTCCTGCACACACACACAGTCATTTCACACCACTCTTTTACTCAATTTTCCTTTCAGGAGTTATGCCTGGCCCTGGCCTGTGGTTCCTCTGTTGTGTAACTCTGTTGTTTCAGCCTGGCACAGAGCTGCGCAGGGTGCAGCCTATCGTCTGGATGGGCTTGCTATTTGTGGCAGAGCCTCCCCGGGAGGCTCTTTCTGAGACTGCCCTTCTTGGTGGCCTGTGACAGCTTGTTTCCATGACTATATTAGCTCCTAAATAATCCACTGGGCCCCAGGAGGTTGACGGGACTTGGCATGCCCCAACTACAGGCCTGGTTGTGTAGATAGGCTAGGAACAGCTCATGCAGAACTTTAGAAAGACCACTTTTCAAAGCAAACATGCCTGTAAATATGCTGTCAACATTAATGGAGGTCATTTGACTGTGTACAAATGCTACAAATGTTTCCAGAATCCATTCTTGGGAAAAATCGTACTGTGGTGGTCTGTCCCTCTTGATCCTAAAGGCCCTAAAAACATTGTTTTTGATCTTAATTAAAAAATTGAGCATGTATTCCTTTCCCCCCAAATTGACCCCTAAACTTCCTTTTCAGTGTTAGTAGCTTACTTTTTTATATTTTGTTGAGTCTATCTTCAGGTGAAAATCTGTAGTGACCCTTAAGTTCTTTTTCTGAGACATATCTGATAACTTAGAGCTTCTCAAGTGAGAAGGATAGTCTAATTTATTTTTCCCTAAGTGAAATATCGCGTAAACCTGTGCTCACTGAGGCGCATTTACTGGCAGTTTCATAGTGCGCTTGGTTCTTCCGGGTCATTTCTAAATTTCATCCCTAGCACCGATCCTTGGTGCATATACTCCAGTGGCAAAACCTCTCCAGCCAGAGAAATACTTATTTCCTGTTTTAAAATGAGCTCTCTTATCCATGACAAAGCAAAAGCCAAGTTTCCAATGCAAAGGCTATTAAAAAATGGAAACTCTGAAAACGTTTTGTTCCTTGGTTCCCATGACCATTTACCCCTCACATAACCTCCATGCTATGTTAGTCAGCCTTACTGTCTCTTCCCAGAAACCACATTGTGTTTTCCCCTGGTGGGTTATGGCCTGTTCCTCTCAGTTGCATTTACCCTCTGGCCAGCTTGAGTTCTTGGGTCTCCTCTGGAGCCTGAGATGAGATGAGAGTCTTAGCTTTGTGATTGTTGATCGTCCTGCTTCCACTTCCTCAGTAAACCCCAGGGCAGAGCACATTGTGGCTGTGCCTCTCCTGCCACCGGGAGTCGTCCTTTGCTCCCTGTCTTTCCCACCGGTTGTGGTTTGAGAAATCCTTTTATTGGTTGTTGTGCTGCTTGTGTCCTTACTAGAGGTGTATTTCAGCCAAGAGGAGATTTGCACGAATGTGACCCTTGTCTCCACATCTCCCCAAGACTGTCATGTGGCCACAGGCTTAGGCTTATTCTTTGTTCTGCCCTCAAAGGGTGAAACTAGGGATAATGAAGAGGAATCATAGGGAGACAAAGATTTCTTCTGTGCTTTTGACCAAGCTGTTCAAAGATGGAAGAGGTGCTGGGCTCTGTAGTGGTCAGTTGAGGTGTCCAGGAAGAGGCTGAAGGGCCAGGTGAGAAAGTGAGGAAAGCATGCATCAGATGTGTGTGTGTAGATGCAGGGGAAGAGGGGCAGGCCTGTTCAGGATGACTTTTAGGCTGTCTAATGATCATTTATTAGGGAAACCTGATTTAGGGTGGTGTTTTGGTATAGTTTTTAAAAGAGAAACACAGAATGTTTCCCTTCATGCTTAAAGTAGTTAAGAAACTAGTTCTTTGGTTGTACCTAGGGGTGCCTAGTTCTATATATAAGAACAGTGAATAAGTTGAAAACTAGTCATCAGGGTAGAGCTCGGTGGGAGGTGGAGTGGACAGTGAAGATGGGTGCGTGCAGGGAGAGTGAGGGGTTACTGATGCTGATTGAAAACCTGTGCACATTGCTCTTTGAAAGAAAAGCTGACCTCATCTCTTTTTGAAGCCTGTACCACCACCACATCCAGTTCCAGGGTATATTTTTCTTAAGGGTTTATTTCCCGCAGAGCCCGAAGGCTTGGTTGGAGTGCAAACAGGTGGAACAGCAGGTTTTAGTTTACCCTGGGCTTTGGTTACGTAGCAGTAACTGAAAATCCTTGACATTTGGAAAGGTGTATACTTGTGGAACTTTTGTTAACTGGAAGAGGAGAGAGGCATTGTTCTCTCATATGACCCGCATGGCCAAAACCACTTCTTGGTTCTGTGTATTCTGAGAGTTCATCTGGCTGGCGGTATGGGGTGGTCGCCCACTTGCTCTGACTAGAGGAGCTGGCCCACCCTCCTTAGATGCCCACCCAGTGGCCTTGGCAGGGCTGCCTGCAGGCTGAGAATCCCACTGGGTGTCTTCTGCACTGAGATTCTGCTCTCCATGTGGTGTGGGGGGATAGGGTCATGGGACAGGCTTTGTCCCTGGCTGTCTCCTTCAGTTGCCCTTTCCTTTTGTTCTCCTGCTCCTTGGGGTGTGACCCTCTGTAACAATGTCCTCGCCAAAGTATCCCCTTTTTCAGGCTCATGTCCCCCCCTTCAGGGCTATCACAGGCTCTGTTCTAGCTTCACCACTTGGAAGTTGGTATAGGAACTGAGCACTGAACTTGCTACCTCATCCATCACTCTTGTAGGTGTCAGCCTTCCTTTTTCTTCTCCACCCGTGTTGATTATCCATATTCACCTTTAAATAGTAAAGTGAATATTCCCAAGGGCAGTAGGAGGAAATTCAGCCCCCTAAGTCTCCCTCTCCTGCTCTAGCTTGCTCTGTTCTTTTGTATCGAATTCATTAATACATGTGGTCACTCATTCTGTCCCAGGTGCTGTGCTGGGCATAGCCCCCTCACCATGGAGGAGTTCATAGTCAGTGAGGAGACAAATTTGTAAATCAGTAGTTTTTCTCTGTGTGCGCAAGTTTGCCTGGAGGGATGGAGGAGGGGAGGGAAGCTGATACTTCGGTGAGTCTGCAGGATATGTGAGAGTGTGCGAGGTATGAGTGGCCAGAGGGTGAAGTGGGGAGTCCAGGCAGGGACACCAGCTTGTGCAGAGACAAGGCACTGGGGGTTATCAGTGGGTCCAGATGGTAGAGTGGAATTGTAGGAGGAGGTGAAGTCACAGAGACCTGGACTTGAGGCTGGGGAGGTCAGGCTTTCCCCCTTTGGCCGGAGGGATCTTACTCTTAACTGCCTGTCCCTTCCTCCTCCTGGATGCAGAAGTGGGACTTGGTGTTCTAGCTTGGCAGTCCTTACTGTCTTTTGTGGACCTTTGTGGGGAGAAGGGTCCAAAGGGCAAGAAGGTGGCTGAATTGAGGATGTTTTTGTTCTTCACTTTTGCCTCCTCCTTGCTCAGCTTGAAGGCATTATGTTGAAGGAAAGTTTTGGGCCTTAGAAAATCACTAGCTTTTTGTTACTCATTATGAACAATGAATAATACTCTACAGTTTACAGGATTCTTTACGCATTCTAACTCAGCCCTTACGGTAGTGAATTAGGTAGTAGTGGTTGTTTCCATTTTAAAGATGAGGAAACTTATAGAGGAGCTTTAGAAGGGCTCCCTGAGGTACAGAGCCTGCAGATGACAGGGAACTTGTGTCTCCTGAATCCAAGTCCTGTGCCTTTGTTCCATACGGTGTGATCTGCAAACCTTCTGAGGTGGAGTGCTGAGTACACCCAGTGCTTTGAACAGGGATGAGCCGGACCTGTGAGCCCAGGGAGGTTTCACTTCTGTGAAATGAGGCTGTGTGCAGAAGGTCAGCAGATTTGGAGTCACATAGGCTTAACTTAGGAGACCAACTCTGCCCCGAAAATATGACCCATGTTGGGCAAGTTACTAGGCCTCCCTGGGTGCATTTCCTTGTATGTAAAATTGGCGGTGTTTTACCTCACAGGGTCAAGAGGAATCCGCTCAATGAATCAGATTGGTCCGTGGGAGCATGCCCCAGGCCATCTGTCCCTCTCCCTCCAATCTATCTGTCTCTCCCTCTGGCCTCGGGATACACGTGGGTCTGGCTGGAGACCAGCCAGTTTCCCTGCTCAGTTACTGGGCAGCAGTCTGTGGGTTGCTGTATTTCAAAAATTGTTTTTGCTAAATGTTGCTTGCCTGGATGAGCTGTTATCTGTAGTGGTAACGACAGCGTGTTCTTCCTGTGGAAAACCTTCTGAGGTGCTTTGTTCCAGGTCACAGGTTGAACATCACGGCGGAGAACGACTGCCGGCGCCTGCACTGCTCGCTGCGAGACCTGAGTTCCCTCCTGCAGGCTGCGGGCCGCCTGGCCGAGTATTTCATCGGGGACGTGTTTGCCTCGCGCTTCAACGATGCCCTCACCGTGGTGGAGAGGTGGGTTGGAGCTCAATTGTCCTTGCTTATGTGAGGGGCGGCGTTTTGCCAGGCCGCTTCTGCTCTGGTGCCAGGTGAATGGAGGCTCTGCCGCATACAAGGGAATAGGGAGCAGTCACTTACCCTCTCTGAACTTCAGGCCCCTCGTCTGTGCAGTGGCGTAGACGTCATATCCTGTGGGCTTATTATGAGAATTAAATGAGATAAGGCAGTGAGCACGGTGCCTCGTGCGTAGCAGGTAATAAATCTAAGCTGTTATTTCATGGGAGATCTTACATATATATATATATAGGTGTGAAGACAGGATTAACCTCGGAAGGAACGAATGAGGTCAGTCTTAGGTCTTTGCTCATAGGATAAAGAGGCGTTAGGAAAGCCCTGTCAATAAAAGGACAAACAAGTAAGCAGTAGGCGCTATCCGAGTAGGCAGTTGAATGCCAGAGGGGGGCTTTTTGCAGTCCTATTAGAAGGGGATTGGTTTTCCTAGTCCTCTTAGGGTCCTCAGGAATTGGAGCTGGGCGGCCTCCAGGTCTGACCTGAGGGGTGGTTCCCGACCTTCCCACCACTGAGCTCCTTTTATTACTTTTTCCTTGAGACTCCTTCACAGGGTTCATGGCTGCCTTTGTTGAGGGTCATTGCATACTACCTAGTCCTCCCCCTCCCTTCTCATGAACGCATACACTTAAAAAGTCATTTGCTCAAAATACAAGTGACAGGAGGGTCAGATCATTTCAAGGTAACCAGCGATTTGATTAGATCAAAACTGGGTGGGTGTGGGTCCAGCTCAAATTTGAGACACCTGATGATTTCACTGGCCCAGTAGCTGTATCCTTGGTAACACATGATGGGGAACTAGGCCCCAAGCCTAAGTACTTGCATACCAGATTTTTCATTAGTCCTAATTTAAAAGCAAAGATAACTAAGAATTTTAAATAAATCTTAAAAAGTCAGATTAATATTAATAATAAAAGTGGCATACAGTAGCAGGAAGTTTTCAAAGTAGTTTTGTACATTTTCTTTCATTCTGTACTTTGATGGCCAGGTATTGTCATTTCATCCGAGTGGATTATAGCCCAGAGAAGATGAGTGCCTTGCCTCAGTCACACAGTTCACAGTCACACAGTTCATGAGAAGGGAGCACGTGGACTGTAACCAGTTTCCTGACCAAATGCTACACTCTTTCCAGACCACAGAGCGTCTACTTCCAGAGTCCTTTTTCCTCTTCTTGCCCTAGGCCTGTTTCCACTGATAGTAGAAATAGAACATGTCTTTCTATCATATTTTTAAAATTTAAACATAAGCAATGTATTATTCATCAGATAGCTCAGCTTCATAGTGAGATGACTGATTAGAGATCCTGAATTGTTATTTTATAAGTCCTTATATGTACATGTTTCTGCACTGCTTAGTTTACAGATTCAGTACTTAAAAGATACTTTGCTATCTTGTCTTCATTTAGAATAAAGCAGGAGAAAAGCCTCCTTGTTAAGGCTACGTGATCTTAATAGCCATTATGATTAGTAGTGTTTTCACTTATAGGTTACGTAAAATACACCTAATATTAAAAACATAGAAATATTAAAAGACACATTTAGAAGTTCATTTTTAGTGTAGAACAACATTAGCGAATGCTACTGAATGTAAAAACACAACGTAAAGTCCCAAACTATGATTTCACTTACATGAGGTACTTAGAGTAGTCAAAATCATAGACAGAAAGCAGAGTGGGGGTTGCCAGGGACTGGGGTGGGAGGAGGTATGGAGAGTTGTTATTTAATGGATATAGAGTTTCAGTTTTACAAGTTAAAAGAGTAATGGAGATGGATGATGGGGGTGGCTACACTTATGAATACATATATATATTTTTAAAGATTTTATTTTACTTATTTTTATTTGTTAATAGAGGTATTGGGGATTGAACCTAGGACCTCATGCATGCTCAACCTATGCTCTGCTACCCCCCATTATGGATATATTTAATGTTCCTGAACTGTACACTCAACAGCATGGATGTAAAGAATGTAGAACAGTTTAAAAAATTGAATACGGAGTGCACATTGGTGTATTACTTACTGATAGTAGTTGTTTTGATGCCTAATTATTACCACTACACCCCCCTTCCTAGGACTTCAAATTGAGAACTCTTGGCTCTTTTACCCTTACTTCCTTGGCTGACTGGAAATGCCTTTCTGACTGCTCCCTAACCCTGAATAATTTGTGGCTCAAGCTTGTGGTTTTCTATTAAAGTCCTGCTTTCTCCCCTCCTCAGGGAGGAACATTTTTCAGAATATGCGCCACATGCATCAGGGTCCCCTGGATGCTTCTCAAAGATGCAGATTTCCAGACCTCTCCCCACAGCTACGAGTCAGTCTGTGGGCAGGACCAGTGAGCTGCATCTGTAACAAGTTCCTCAGTTGATTCTTATGCTCAGTGAAGTTTGGGACCCTCTGCACTGCTGAATTGAGGGCGAGAAACACACCCTGTCTTCCCTGTGTCCCTCGCAGACCTGCTCCCAGGATTCCTTACGGAGTAGGGACAGATAAAACTTAGCCACTCGCCAGTTGTTGTTTTTTAACCTCGACTCAGAAAGGAACGTCTGTCTCTAATGAAAGAGGCATTTCCCATTTCCAGTAGAGCTGGCTGTTAATTACTGTATTTTATGTTCATTTGTGTATAGTGAGCCGTTGGGTTGGGCAACCAGAGGGCTCAGTAACTTGCTTCTTAAAGAATTGTGCTTGAAGTGAAAAATACTTTAATCTATTTTAGACACTTTTGTGTGCCTCCCGCTCCCAGTGTTTTATCATGAACATTTTCAGATCTTCAGAAAGTTAAAAAAAATTATATAGGGGATATCCATATACCCATCACCTAGATTCTACAGTGAACATTTTGCTGTATTTTGTTTATCATATGTCCATCCACCTGAAACATATACTTTCTTCCCAATTTTTTTTACTGTAGTAAAGTACACATAGCATAAAATTTTCCATCCTAATCATTTTTATTGTGTGTATTATATTACATTATATTATGTTCTCTGTGTTGAATATTTATATTGTTTTCAAAATTTGGGGGGACTATAAGTGAAGCTTTATATATAAATCTATATGTACATCTCAGATTATATCTTTGGGATAAAATTGAAGACCTGGTCTTGATTCTTTTCTGAATGAAAAAAGTCTGTCCTCAAGACCTTTGCTGGTACCTTGTCCATTTTGTCTGTTTTAGTCTGTGAGCTGAATGTTTTTTCTTACCCGCTTCCTTGCCGACAGGTTGGTTAAAGTCACTTTGTATGGATCTCAGATAAAATTGTACAACATTGAGACTGCCGTGCCATCAGTATTGAAGCCTGATCTCATTGATGTGTAAGTATAGTTCTCCATCTGTGTGTTCTCAGAAAGACTCTGTCCTCTGGCCCCAGATAATTTTAGAGATGAAAAAGGAACTGTAGTGGCTGCCGTGAAAAGAAAAAAAACTCCTACCTCCAAACTTAGAAAGGGAGAAGTTTGTTTGATTATATCTGGGGCAAGTGTTGGTTGGAGTAAGTGGAATTCATCAGATGAGAGCTAGGAGCAGAGGGTATGTGGAGCAGGCATTTCAGGAGGAAAGAACAGCACAAACCAAGACACAGACATGCTATAGAGTCACATGGTTAGGGAGGTGGTGAGCAGTTTCTGTGGTGGGAGTCGAGGTGGATGGGCATTTTAGGATGAAAGTGTTTCACCTTGAATGCCATGAATCTTACCCTGTAGACCAGTGACTGAAACTGTAGGGTGCAGAAGAATTGCTTGAGGAACATATTCCCTCAGAGATTGTGGTAATAGCAGAATGGCATAAGGCTTGGGTATTTGCATATTGAATAAGAACCTCAAGTGATTTTGAAGCAGGATATCCAGGGACCACACTTTAGGAAACTTTAGAGATAGTGGGAAGCCATTAGGAAAGTGACATATAGAAGGGATAGAGGAATGGGGACTAGAGATGGGGCCATATCGCAGAGATCACACTGCCCAGAAGGCTTGCTCTAGAGCAAGAGCTTTTGTAAATGATGATTTATTGGAACACAGCCATGCCCGTTCATTTACGTATCATCTGTGGCTGCTTTTGCACTACAGTGGCAGAGTTGAATAGTTGAGACAGAGAGTGGATGGCCTGGCAAAGCTAAAATATTTATGCTTTAGTTTCTGCAGAAAAAGTCTCTGACCCCTGTTCTAGAAATAATAGAGTCTTATTTACTGTGGTGGTTAAAGATTTTTTGTTCTTTTTAAAAAAATACTGCTTTCCTTTTTAAAATTTAGAGAAAGCTTCTTCCAAGAAAGACACTCTAATTTCCTCATAAACACAATGTCTTGCACATTTTAGAGCTCCTCCTTTCACCCTTAAGGAGCTCTATAAATTTGGTAGGTTGACTGAAATTCTTAGATTCCCAAAGACAGACTTTGATGCCTTCCTCCTTATGTTTGGTACTTTATTTAATATAAAATACAAATAACTGCCTGGTCACTATGAATTTCAAACTCCCAATATCTTTATTTTCTTGCTTTAATGTAATTAGTACTTAACTATTTTCTTATTTTCTTGTCTAACTTCTTATCTTGAAAAAGTTCAAACCTATAGATAAGGGCAAAAATAAATGAATACTCATATACTCTCAAGCTAGATTCGTCAGTTATAAATATTTGCTGCTTTTTTCCCTGTGCTTTCTCTCTGTATATACATGTGCACACACATACTTTTTTTGTGAACTGTTTGAAAATAAATTGAAGACATGTCACTGCATTTTTATATCCTTCAGCATGTATCTCCTAGGAACATTCTCCTATGTAACCATAATACCATTATCAACACTCAAGACTTTCGTAGATACAGTTATGTCATCTCTTATTTTATAGAGTATATGTATATATATTCCATATTCAGGTTTTCCCAGTTGACCCAGGAATGTCATTTTTACAGGTATATCTATAGATATATATTTTGTGGATCCAAGTTATAACTAATTGTGAAACACACGGTATGTTTATCTCCTGTAATCTAGAGCCAACTCCCCAAATTATGTGTGTTTGGCAGGGGTCAGGTGGAGAGAGAGAAAGAGAAAGTGACTTTTTGGAGATCTGGACCTTAATTTTTTTTTTTTTAAGAGAATCTTAAAAATCTGTATTTGTCTAGTTGTTTTTCTCTGTATTACATTGCAGTTAAACATTTTTAGCAAGAATACTACGCAGGTTGATGATGTGTCCTTCTTGCATCATATCGAGGCACTAGGGGTCAGTTTGCTCTGTAAATTCTAAATTTGCCCTATGTATTCTAAAATATACTCTCCATTAATGGGAACCAGAGCTCCTTGGAGAAATGCTCCAAGTCTGGTGCAGGTTGATCCTGGAGAATCGTGTCAGTAAAGAATGTTGGGAGCATACAAAAAGGACACAGAGGCTAGCTTGAAAGGAATTTTCCTGGTCAAACTTGACAATTTGATCCTGAAAGAATACAGATGATAATGAGTTACAGCATATTGAATATAAAGAATCCATGCATCCATATGATTAAAAAAAAAAGATCTGGGAGGGAAAGCTCTTCTTACAGAGGAATACTTAGCTAATAAACAGAAAAAGAAAGAGAAAATTTTCACCAGTTTGCAACCACTAAGACAAGAATGATTTACGCAGGATCCTCAACAGGTGTTTGTTGGGAACGGCATGTTTTACATAGTCTCAAAGTTACCACTCCACAGATTACTTGGTAATTTTTTCAGGAAAGGGAGAAATTACCCACTTAGGCTTATTAGAAGGTCTGGTGTTTGTAAGCTCTGAGACGGCTGCTTCACTTTGTTTAAGGTTTATTATTTATTATCTTTGAATTATGAGCTTTTATATATTTTGTTAATGTCTGTGGTGCTGTACAAAATTGGCAGAAACCAAACATAGTCTTCACTGCTTTGTCTCTAGCCAGATAACTTGCATGGTGTGATGGAAGCTTAAACTTGAGAGTCTCTTATCAAAGCTTATTTCTGAAGCTGTAATTCCTGGTAGTTTACATCTTCACCTGTATTTATGGGTGTAAAATGTTTACTAGTTCCCAAGTCAATACATTATCACTTAAGGTCTTTGATTTTTTTTTTTTAAATATTTACCATTCTCTCAGGTGAACTCACTGTTTGTCACGGAAAGATTGAATGAGATCTGATAGGCAACTGCTTTCTGTATTCCAGGCAGTGGTGGCATATTTAGATGATGAGTTTTAACTTTTAGGTTCTACTCAAGCAAGTAAATGGTTTCCATGCTTTCACATGTGACCTAGAATAGGAAATGTGATGGATGGAATTCTTACCTCCTGTGGAAACAAGTTTAGTACTAATATATTTTGACCATAACCTTTAAAATCGCGTCTCCTCTCCTTTCGCAGGCATGCTCAGTCCCTGGCTGCTCTGCAGGCTTACTCTCACTGGTTAGCGCAGTACTGCAGCGAGGCTCACCGGCAGAACACGCAGCAGTTTGTTACGCTCATCTCCACCACCATGGATGCAGTCACACCTCTGATCAGCACCAAGGTCTTGAAACAGCGAAGGCTACACCTTTTATATAACTCTGTGTCTGTCTTTCTGTTCACATACCCACTTTATTATAAAATTCAAATATAGGATTAGGTCGAATTCTTACTGCTGTGATAGAACTGTGTGTCATTTCATGTTCCTCTTTAGATATAAATGTGAACTCTAATTTTTTTCAGTTCAGTTCTCCCACATGAATACTGCTCATTGTGAAAAAGTAAAATATTGTTCAAATGTACAGACTAAAAAAGTTATAATACTCTTTAATCCCTTCCTTCAAAACATTTTCCTTTCCAAGATGAACACTGTTGCAGTTCACTGTATGTTCTTCAGACTTTTTTCTGTGCTTACATATATAAGTAAAAATTTGTAGATAGCTGGAAATGTATCTTCTTTTGCTAAACAATATACCTCAGAGACCTTTCTATATGTAGAGCAACTTTAGTTTTTCAAATTGTCCAGTGCTATTCTGTAGTAGGGGTGTATGATAATTTTTCTGTTGATGGAAATTAAACCCTTGTATGTACATCCTTGTAGGATGGATTCCTGGAAGTGTAATTGCTGGGTCAAAGGTTATATTCATGTAAAATTTGATAGATTTTATTAAGTTGTCCTCCAAGAAGACCACCAGTTTATATTACTAAAGCATATAGACAGATGTTTTTCTTTTCTTTTTGTAGTTTTAATCATACATAGCATTTTGTACCACTATTAACAGAACAGTGTATTGTTTCCCATAAATTTTTGTTGTGTTTGTAATTTATAAATGAGTTATGATATCCTGAGAGGGGGGTGTTTCAAACTTTATCCATTGATGGGCTTTTAAGTTGCTTCCATTTGATAAAAAGTCATTACAAATAATTCTGAAATGTGTGTACTCGTGACTGTAGCTTTATCCTTTTAGGTAATTTTCTTAGAATAAGTGGGATTATAAGGTTAAAGGTTAGGGATATTTTATGGTTCTAGGAAATTATGGTAATTTTTTTTCCTAAATAATTCTACATGCCACTGACTCTTTGGTGTGCTGTTTTTACTAGTCTTGCCAGTGTTAGTTTCTGTCTACAAAGAGTTTTCTCTTTTGCTAATAGAATGGTACTTGAACCAAGGTTTTGATTGGCATGTTGAGATGAAGGATGTGTAGGGCCTGATTGGGTATAGAAAGGTGGGGTGGAGAGAGAGGAGCAAGTTTGGTTTGGTTGGAGCAAGAGGAATGAGAGGAACAATACCAAATGGTTTGAATGATGTGCCAAGGAGTTTGTCATGTGATTTAAGAGCTGATAGGGAGCCACTGTAGATTCTTGAGCTAAAGAGTGACTGAGTTCGAAGATGCGAGTGACTAAGAGCCAGAGGAGCTAGAGATGGTAATCCTGATTTGAGGGCAGGGGTTATGGGTGTGGCAAAGAAGAGGATGCCTAGTTGCTGGGCATCATTCAAGGAAAACTTCTTTGAGACAGAGCTTAGGTGGTATAATTTGGCATCTGAGAACCACATTTAGCTGCTTTTAATACTAGTGTCACAGGGAATGTAGTGTGAGCTGACATGCCCTCTTCCCTCTCCAGGTCCAAGACAAGCTGTTGTTATCCGCGTGCCACTTACTAGTCTCACTGGCCACCACAGTGCGACCTGTCTTTCTGATCAGCATCCCCGCAGTACAGAAACTATTCAACAGAATCACCGATGCCTCCGCCCAGCGACTTGTCGATAAGGTGAGGCCCCAGAGCCATGTGGCTCAGACTCAGGGAAGCTGAGGAAGAAGAGTCTGGCTTTTTTTTTTTTTTCTTTTTTGCACTCAGAGCTTACAGGCTGTGCCAGCATAGATGGATATAGTACATATGTGGCACTGATGCAGCCTCAGTGCTCTCTTGTTGTCACTCCCCAGCACAGTCAGTGTGCTGATTCAGACATAAAAATTTCCTCCCAGTAGGCACCGAGGTGGTGCTGCTTTGAGAACTGGGAGTTTGGTATTATGAGCATCCTCTCTGCATTCTTTTTGGTTTAAAACAGTCTGCTTTTGTTGTTATATGTTTATTTTCTTAAGGTTGAGACACTCCAGACAAATATACTCTGCTAGAATCCTCCAGGAAGCTTAGGCTGGAGGTTTAAAAACAATAAAACGGGTGGGGTCAGAAGGGAGTTAAAGTGGTTACTCTTGAGCACCTGGGACATGAATGTATTGCTTCTAACCTGGCGCTGATAGATTTTCTTAACAGCCCTGTTCTGAGTAGCTTCTTGGAGGGTGTCAGAAGCCAGCAGCTGAGGGACAAGTTAGATCCAGTCTCTGTGATTGCTCCCTCTGTAATGCTTCCAGCACCAGATTAGAGGGGAAGCGACAGCAGTAAGAATGATTATTGAGGCTGGCCCTGGGATGTGATGGACCCACTTAGTATTATTGCCTCAGTTTCTCTTTTCCCTTGGATGCCTGAATTGGACCAAAGTCCCAGGCCTGGATTGTAAGGAAGGAGCCTGAGCTCAGTGTGTGTGGTAGGTGTCCAAGGTAGTGTCAGGCATAGCTGCTCTGTGTCCACATTGCTCTTAAACTTCTGATGGATGCCTTGGGGTCTCTTCCAGGCCCAGGTGTTGGTGTGCCGTGCCCTCTCTAACATCTTGCTGCTTCCATGGCCAAACCTCCCAGAGAATGAGCAGCAGTGGCCCGTGCGCTCCATCAACCATGCCAGCCTCATCTCTGCACTCTCCCGAGATTATCGCAACCTGAAACCCAATGCTGTCGCCCCACAGAGGAAGATGCCACTGGATGACAGTAAGTGACCCCTCAGCAGGGGCAGCCTCAGGGGATAAGTAGGGCAGGCATTGTTCTTTTGTGGCAGATGGGGCTTGCCTCTGGGGCTCATGGGTGAATCATCTGTCCACAGTCACACAGCTGCTAAGCAGAAGAGTCAGACTCGGGGGTAGAACCCTGCTCATTCGTGGAATTCAGTGAACACATCAGCTGGGCCTATTTCCTGAATGCAGGAGGTCCCTTCTCTTACTTAAAATGTCAAAAATAAGAAAAATACCCATTTGAAGGCACTACTGATGGTGCCTTCCATGGATAAAAATCCTACAGTGATTATCGATCCATTTCAGATACGTGTATAAGCAGTCAAAGCAGTTCACTTCTACACACTGGGAAACAGGAATTTAAGAACTATCTTTTAAAACTGTTTTTAACCTTTCTCCAAATACAGATATTTTAGAGGCTTTGAAAGAGCTTAGTATCTTCACAAATGACACTTCAAATTTGATTATATTAAAGGAGGAAAAAAAGAATCAAGAGAGCACAATAGTTCAAGTAGAAGGCATCAGATTTTTCTGAAAAATCTTCCTAAAATAGCAAATATTACAGAAATATTTTGAAAATACAAGTCTATTTTCACAAAAAGAAAATAATAGAACATTATCAGATGATGTCATTTATAGAATTCAACAAAAATGTGTTGTAAAATGTTAGAAATAGTAATAAATACTCAACATTTTTTAAAAAACATTACTTTTATGATCAGGAATATTAACATATGCTCATTGTACAAAAATATGAGAATAGTATACAGAAGGAAAATGAAACAAATCTCACCATTTTTAGTATTTTAGAAAGTAACCCATTATTTTAACTATCTTGTTGTCCACCTTAATAATATAATAGACAATTATTTTACCAGCAAAAGCTAGTTTATTCGGGAATAGCCAGAGGAATTGCACTTTGGGATATGAGACCCATGGCAGAGGATAGGCAAATCCAGAGAATAAGAAAGAGGAATTTGCTTTTATAGGGTAAAGGGGGAGAGTTGGGAGGAGCTGTAATAACCAAAGAGTTCTTTGGAGAAACCTGGGAGTTCAAAGTATGAAGGCTTCTCATTGTTTGGGCTCCTACAGTCTCTGATTGGCTGGGCTGTCTTCCGGTGGAAGAGTAGTTTTCTTCCTCCTCCTGGATAAAGTAGGCAACACCTTCCTGTTTGTAGTAATTGACAATACATGGTGGGGAATGGGAGCTCCCCCTGCAGGCCTGTCCTGACTCCTCTCTTAGCTGAGGTTCGGTTCCCCACTGTCTTCCTTTTTCTATTTGTAAATATATTTTATAGTCATATAGTTGCATAAGAATGGCTGTCTTAATGAGGACATCCTGTGTGCTAGGCTCTTGCCTTGGTGATCTTAGCATCCTCGTCAAATCTCTGGCTATGCCAGCATCAGCCTTCAGAGTCTAGTATTTGATCCTTGTTCTAAGTGTTCTGCATTCAGTAATTCATCTAATTCTAACATCAGCTTTATGAGATAGGTACTGTTAAATATCCTCATTTTATCCCTGAGGAAACTGAGGTATGGGAAGATCAAGTAACCTGCTCAGGGGTTACATATAGCTATCGTGGAATCATGTTTTATAAAGTTTAATGGTGTTTTCTCACTTTATCTTACATGTACTTACATCAGGCAGCATAGGCTAGGTTATGCTATGGTAGTAGCAAACAGTCCCCAAGGCTTAGTGGCTAAATGCAAGAAAAACATTTATTTCTTGCTCATACTACATATCCAGTGTGGGTCCGGGGCTTGGGGAGGTCCTGCTTACTCTAGTCACTCAAGGCTCCATTGCAATATGCACTTACACTGGGCAAGCAATGTGGTGAACTGTGGAGTGGTTCTTAGAAGTTCTTGCCTAGAAGTGACGCTTGTCAGTTCCACTCACATTTCATTGGCCAAAGTGAATGGTTATATGGCCATGGCTTGACTGCAGAGCAGGTAGGAATTGTGATGCCACCATATGCTGGAAATACTTGCTGCATAGCATTAATAGTTTCCACAGTGAGCATAATGAAAAACATGGTTAACACTTGTTGAGTGTTTACTGTGTGCCAGGCGCTGGGCTGAGAACTTTATATACATTATTTAATTTAGTCTTCCCTATAGCCCTGTGAGGTGTGTCTTATTATCCTTATTCTACAAGTAATGAAATGGAGGCCTGGAAAGTTTTTCCTATCTCAACCTTATACTTTGCAAAAATGTCCAAACCTACAGAATAGTTGAAAGATTAAGAAAATGAGCAGCTGTTTATCTTTCACCAGGATTCACCAGTTGTTAATATTTCGCCGCACTTGTGTTCTTCTCGACCTCACACACGCTTTTTCTTTTTAACTGAGCCATTTAAAGGAAGTTGCTGACATCAGCACTTTAATCCCTGAATATTTAATTAACCTTTATCTTTGAGAACAAAATACTCTCTTATATAACCAGAACACCATTAATGCAACCAACCAAGCCGTGGGACATTGTTATAGTAATGTCATTTAACAAGTAGACCGTGTTTAAATTTTCCCCAGTTGTTATCAAAATGTGCCTTTTGCTTTTTAAAAATCCAAGATACTTTCAAGGATCATGAGTTATATTTGGTTGTCACATCTCTTTAATCTCTTAATATAAAAAAATTCCTTTTTTTTTACTTATTTTTTTAATGACATTGACTTTTTTTTTAAATGACATTGACATTTTTAGAGTCTAGGCCTATTTTCTTATAAAATGTCCCATAATCTTGTTCTGTCTGATCGTCTCTAGGAGTTATTGGTGATGTTTGTGGGATCACCAGCTTTAGGCAGCGGCTGCCAATCTCTCCATCATAAAGGTTGCTGCCCCCCCACCCCTACCCTGGCCCAGGCTCAGCAGGTGTAAATTGCTCCGGATCATAGAGGAAGTAGTAGTGTCAGGAATGGTTCTGAAAAGTTTCAGGATCCCCTGCTCTTCACCACATTGCCCTTTCTTCTTGAAAGCATTGTTTTTAATGGCTTTATGACATCCTATCCTGTGGAAGTACCACAATTTACATACCCATTCTCTTATTACTACATATTAGTTTTTCAATTTTACATATTAGTGCTTTTAGTTTTCCATTTTTCTGAGTAAATCTTGGCTCTTGTTTAAAGTTTTGTTTGTTTTTTTGGTTCTTTTTTTTTTATTTTTTAATGGAAGTACTAGGGATTGAACCCAGGACCTCGTGCATGCCAAGCACATGCTCTACCACTGAGCTATACCCTCCACCCCCAGTTTTTGTTTGAATTTCCTTATACATCATAGGTCAGAGTTGGGTCTCTTGACTCTGTTTTCTTTTCCCCCTGAGCTGTTTTCCCTGTGCCTCGTGTGTTCTTGGGGAAGGGTCTGCCCAGTGCAGTTTCCTGGTTCAGTGACTGTCCCTGTGCTGGTAGTGTTGAGAGCGCGGCTCCTTCAGGAGTACAGCTGCCTTTCCTTCACTTTCCAGCATCCCCATGACCCACCTTCAGTGGCCAGGCTTGTTGTGCCATGTTTTCTTCATGCCCGGTCCTCTGAGTGCGTGATGAGGAAACTGAGACTTAGAATAAGCAGTGTCAGGAGTCAAACCTGATTCCACCTCCCTCCAAAGCATGTAACCTGTCTGCTGTCTCCTTCCTTGGGAGCTGCTGCTGCCTACACAGAGGCTAGTGAGCCCTGGGAGCCAGAGCCACCCAGCGAGCTGCCAGGTGGAGGCTGGCTCTCAGCCCAGCCTGGCTCCACTGCTGGAGCTCTGCCGGGGTTGAGTCTGCCAGGCTCAGGCGGAGCCCCAGGGGGCTTCTTGAGGCAGCTGGTGGGAAGAGGAACCCGTTCCCACCAGAACCAAGGAATGTTGACAGCCTTCCTGTGCTGGACTTCTTATATGCCAGGTGCTTCGCTGGAATCATTCTGAACCCTGTCTCTAATCCTCATGGCAACCCTGCAGAGGTGGGGGCTGTTGACCAGCCCTGGTGTACTGACAAGAAACGTGCCCCTGGTGTATAGCTGTGTTGACCATGTGCAGGTCATGCGCAGGCTCCTCTGGTCCGGGCTCTCGCCGTGTCCTGTGAGGTCCTGCTTGTTTGCTAGCTCCTGCCTCTGTTTTCCCTCTGTGCTGTCTGGAGTCATCCACGAGCTCTTACATGGGGTATAGTTAGATGTATTTATTGCCAAGTGTCGTATAATATAATGCATAATAATAATAAAGCCCATAGGCCCAGTAGGCCAAGGATTAATCAGGTAGTTTATTCCTTACAGCAGTGGTAGATGTGCACAGCGGGTGTGGTGTGGATGGCCAGAGCCTTGTCTGGAATTGAAGGAGGGTGTTTGATCCACATGTGCCCATTCTTGCCTGTGGTAATTACCATGTGACACTTACTCTCACTAGTCTACTCACCGTCTTACAGTCTTAAGTCCGAGACACCTAAAATGAGGGACATTTCATCTTCTCTGTGCATTTGTTGCAGGTGGATAGAGGCAGAATACAGGCAAAAACTGAGCAGGCTGGCTCACAGGCAACTGGCATCCTGGTAGGAAAGGGGGAACAAAAAAGAAAGAAATGGATATAGAAAGAGGGATACAGAGAGAGCCTTTGATAACTCAGTCAAGAGAGACTGAAAAAAAAAAGAGAGAGACTGAGTTCCTTCCCGATTTCTGTGTGATTGTCCTCTGAATACCTTTGCAGATTTCTCCCCTTCCCTGTGTTCCCTCTTAACTCTGCTTTATCCTCAGACAAGTCATAACATGCAACTTAATCTTGGTTTGCAGCCAAAGTGATTATCCACCAGACACTTAGTGTCTTAGAAGATATCGTGGAGAATATCTCTGGGGAATCCACCAAGTCCCGACAGATCTGCTACCAGTCCCTGCAGGAATCCGTTCAGGTCTCCCTGGCCCTCTTTCCAGCTTTTATCCATCAGTCAGGTAGGAGCTGGTCGCAGGCCTCACTCCTGGGTGGTGCTGACAAGGACCAGAGTAACTGCTTAACTCTGTAGAGCATGCCGAGTTTGTCGGCAGAGCAGGCCTTGCTGGTGAAGGCAGAGGGCTGTGACATCCTGTGACACTGGGTCACTTGGGAACATAAATGGATGACAGAAATAGGGGCATTATGTAGGAGCGGACAAAGAACTTTTTCTGATGAGTTCTACTTATTTTATGGCAAGGTGGGGTTGCTGAGATGCTTCCCCTTGCCACACTCTGTCACTGTCACTGAGAGAGGCTCTTGCTAGGTCCCTGTGCTTGTGTCGCCTGGCTCTCATGAGAGCATTTACAGTGGTCTTGTCAGTCTTATGAGAGAAATATCGGGAGCTTCCCCATTAACAAATACTCACTGATTGCCTCTTGTGAACAATCAGAGTGTGCTGCTCAGGCCAGGACATACTGTACAAGATGATCGTTTAGGTCTGGAAGTGGAACCACATTAAATGTAACCAATATTTTCTGCAGTTAATCCATTTAATGGCCCAGAGCCATGCAGTCTGAGTACCCCCTCATTATCCACTTTCAGCCACTTAACCCCTGACCCAACTGCAGGGATTATTGAAGCCCTCAGGTGCTGACCCAATTCAGTTGTTGCATCAGTGAGCACAAAATGACCCATTTGCAGTGAGAATTCTGCATGTGTCTGGATGCTGGGCAGTGAGGATGGCTTCAAGATGACCTTCATTTCCTATCGTGAGCTATCAGGCAGAGTTCACTGTATCAGAGCTGTTTTCTTAGCACGTTCTTAATTTTCTACTTTCCATCATTGGCTCTGATGGTGTTGGGGATGTGTCTTCCAGCAGGAAGCCTTAGAGAGGATAGTGCAGATTGCAGAAGGAAGTCCATCAAGCCCAGGGCTTCTGTTTATCCCTGAGTGTGTGCCTCTGATCGTTTGCTTTGTCCCTGTATTTAGATGTGACTGATGAGATGCTGAGCTTCTTCCTCACTCTATTTCGAGGCCTTAGAGTACAGATGGGCGTGCCTTTCACTGAACAGATCATACAGACTTTCCTCAATATGTTTACCAGGTAACTGCAGACCTGCTGTCCTTGGTTTTTGGACACCACTTAGAGACTTGGTGGGACCTGGCTACAAAGCATGGGACTTTTTGCTCCTTTTCTTCATGTGTCATAAGCATTGGTTTTCATTGCTGGTCCCCAGAGAAACATTTCTTTGTGCTTTCTCTTGTCTGCAGAGAACAGTTGGCCGAGAGCATCCTCCACGAAGGCAGTACCGGCTGCCGGGTGGTTGAGAAGTTCCTGAAGATCCTGCAGGTGGTGGTCCAGGAACCTGGCCAGGTGTTCAAGCCATTTCTCCCCAGCATCATCTCCCTGTGCATGGAGCAGGTGTATCCCATCATTGCAGAGGTATGAGGGGCTGGGGTGGTTCCCTGTGCTGCGACTGAGGAAGGAATGAAATGTTGAGGAAAATGTGTTTTAAAGCTAATTTGTTATTTTATTTTTCTTGTAAAGTAATTTTTCTTGCAAGAACAAATGCCATTAGCTTGGTACAGTTTTTTGTTTTCGTTTTTTTTAATATGTGTTGAGTTACTTAGAAACTAGTCTAGTGTAAGCATAGCAGTTTGATGTCACAAGTTTGGTTGGTAAGGAAAATCAGTCTCCCATGGCAAACAATTTATAACTTAAGGTGAATATGTGGTTTTCTCCAGCAAACACTGTTTTAATAACAAATGTTCATAATAACAACAATATTTTATAATACTTTCCTATTAAGAACTTTCATGATCTGAAGGATACAAAACAAGTTCTTGGAACCATTCAGAGCTTTCATTGTTAGAAAGCTCTTTGTCCTTCTTTGAAAACAGACACTCAGCATGACAAAATCCAAAATAAGTATAAATGTATATTTAGTTTAAGCTTTCTATAATAGGTAAATAAGTGCCAGCCTTTCTTACTGCTCAAATTTAGGCTTAGGTAAGTCCGGTTGCTTTGCCTCATTAAACACACCTACGCCCTCTGAGGATTCCTGCCATGGAAGCTGGTGCCCTCTGGTCTTAACTTAATTTTAATCAAGGCTGAGTTAAAAAGATCTGGGCCTTATAATTTTGAATTCTGCTGAGACAGCTTGAGTAATGTGACCTGCCATGCTCTTGAGTGACTTGGAGGTTTTTGGATAAACTAGAAAATACTGCCTAGCCTGCCTCCCTCTCCTCTCGTCCTCCTGCCAGTGAAAGAGGAGATAGGCTCAGAGAGCTGCCTCTACCTGGAGGTCCTCTAATGCTGCTTTCAGTGGTTTCTTAGTGCTCTTTAGTCTCCTTTTCTGTAGCGAGCAGAGCCACTTTGAAGTCTTATTTGTCTTTATCCTTATCCTTATGTTGGCATAAGACCAACAGGTGAGCTGGGACAGCATTTTTTAGTCCTGGAAAAGGAACAGCACAACCAGGATGTGACAGATCAAACCAGCTGCTTTTTAAACAGGAAATCCATATTCCTAATTGTTCTTCCATTTAATAGCCTTTTTTCCTAGCTTAAAAAGCTGAGTGCCTCCATCAGAAACAGGGCCCCTTGGCACCCACCCAGGCGTCCTGTGTCAGCCGTGGCCCTTTCTCTGCCGGGGTACTCTTTGTTAGAACTGCTGGCCCACAGGGGCTCAGGAGGATGAGAGCGGGGGTGGGGAGCTGACACGCTGCTTACTGTTACCAGGCCTCTCTCAGACCCCTTTGTTACCTGGGCCCAGGCTATGAGTGACTCCCTCACGTAGGAAGGGAAGGTTTGAGGGTCTGTGTGTGTCTCCACAGCGCCCCTCCCCTGATGTGAAGGCTGAGCTGTTTGAGCTCCTTTTTCGGACGCTCCATCACAACTGGAGGTATTTCTTCAAGTCCACTGTCCTGGCCAGTGTCCAGAGGGGGATTGCTGAGGAGCAGATGGAGAATGAGCCCCAGTTCAGTGCCATCATGCAGGTAACGTGGAAGAGCTGGTGAGGCTGCCATTTGATCCAAGATCAGACAGGCCCTCTTGGACACCACCTGGGTCCGTTGGCTGACTGTCTCTTGGTTTGCTCTCTAGCATACAGTCCCACTTCCTCAAACGTGGTCACTGCAACAAGTTCTGTTTTTGAAGCCTTGTGGTTTTGGGTCTGAAGCTCATCTCTGCCTCTTAGTACCTGTGAATGAAGTTAGTTAACTTCTTGGCGCCTTAGGTCTCTCCATCTGTCTGGTAGGGATAACACTGCCTATTTCCTGGTTTGAGGAGTTAAATGAGGGCACACACAACATTCCCGGCACAGGGAATGCTGGGTAGATGTCAGTTCCCTTGGCCTTGCAGCAGTGTTCCCACGTGTAAGGAGACTGCCTGCCTCGGGATCCCCTGGGGCCCTGCTTAGCTGCACGCTGACTGAATGGACTCCTGGGGAGGGGCCAGTCAGCTGCATTTTTTAATAATAATTGAAGTATACTCGACCTGCAACACTATGTTAGCTGATCTGCATTTTTAAAAGAGAACTGTGACTTGCCCCATGTTGGGAGAAGCACTGCCCTGTGGTTCAGTGCTCCCTTTTAGATCAAGTGAGGCTGTTACACCCTAGAGAGCGAGTTCTCTGGGGGCTGAGCACATGCTGTGGAAGACAGGGGCAGCCTTCCCCTGGCAGGGTGGCTGGCCGGTCAGCGACCGCTTTCAGGCACTCTCCTTGTTCTGCACTCAGTTGTGTAACCTTATTATTCTGAGCCTCAGTTGGAGTAGAGGGTTTTTCTGTTTTTTTTTTGTTTGTTTGTTTGTTTTTTTAGTGCGAGCTTTTCCTCACAGGGAAGCCAGGGGGAAGCCAGAGGGATTCTACCACTCCTCCCTTCAGCTCCTCGCCAACTCGCATGCACTCCCTGTGTGGAGATTCCTCTCTGGAAGAGCAGATGTTCCACCCCTGGTCTCTGCGGTTGTTTTTCTGTACTTTCATCTCCGACGCCCCGTCGCGGGCTTGGGTTTGGAGTATTCAGTGCTTGCCCCTCTCGCCCTCATACCTCCCTCTTAAATTCTGTCCTTGTGTAAGACTTTTTTGGTAGACTGATGCCTGATCATCCATTCAGGACTGTAATAGCCACTCTGGGAAACAGCTTCACGTTTGGCAGTTAATTTATAAAGTTAAAACGTATAGTTACTATGTGATCTAGCATCCCACCTCTAAATATTTTACTGAAGATGAATGAAAACATATATTCCCACAACCTGTACACGGATGTTTATAGCGGCTTCTTTCATAAAAATTGCTAAAAGCTGGAAGCAATCCAAACATCCATCAGCTGGTGAGTAGATGGACTGTGGCAGGTGCTACCTAGCAGTCAAAAGGAACACGTTCCCACGCACACACAGCATAGATGACTTCCGTGTGTGCTGTGCTAGGTGAAGGAAGCCAGACCAGGAGGGCTGCTTGCTACGGGATTCCATTCCGTTATATGACGCATGTTCTAGAAAAGGCACATCTAGAGGAACAGAGAATGAGCAGTGGTTGCCTGGGGCAGGGGGAGAGTACTGACGACAAGGGGGCTTGAGGGAACTTTTGGGGAGAGGGGGACGTTCTATGTCTTAATTGTCATGGTGGGTAGGTGACTCTGTGGTCAGAATCACACAGTGGTGAGCCTCAATAGGGTGAATATTACTCTGTCACACTTCGATAAACCAACTTTAAAAAATAAAACCATTGGGCACTCTTCACTGCAGCAGGGATTACATGATCCCCTTACACGCAGTTGAGGAGGCCAAGGACAGAATGGCAAGGGGTCACCAGCTTCTAGGGAGTGTCCTGCACACCAGTGGGTGTGCACGTCACTGGCCCTCCCTACTCCTCCACTGTCACTTTCTGTCAGAGCAGGGCTCTTTGTGTTTTAGGGGGCAAAGGGGTATTTCTTTCTGCCCTTGAACTAGTAACTTCCACAGCCCAGAAACAGCAAAGCAGCTTAAAAATTTGCTCTCACTTAACCCCAAGGTAGAGGCAGCCAGTTGGGAAGGAGCCTTCAAGGATTTGTGGTTTATAAGACCTGGGATGCCAAGGAGAGGGTGGGCAAGTGGTTGGCGTTGGGTTGAGGGGAGGAGGGCAGCCTTTGGTGCCTGCCAAGATGGCTGAGGTATTTGACTAGGGGTGTTAGCCTCTTCCTTTAAAGACAGATCCTGTTGGGGTGGATGGGTAGAGTTTTATTATAGAAGGTGTAAGATGAAACCAAACAAGAAATGAGGCACAAGGGGGAGGACTTAGGAGCTAAGACTACTCCAGAGCGTTCCACAGATCTGAGGGGACAGGCCAGGAGAACGAGGCAGCAGAAGCCCTCGCCCTGCATCCAAGGAGCTGGCTGCAGAGTGTCGGTTCCTTGGGCGTAGGTAGTGCCCTAGAAGGGCTGGGTCTGAGGGCGTTTAAATGTTGCTTACAAAATGGTGGTCTTATTTCCTAGGCTTTCGGACAGTCCTTTCTGCAGCCTGACATCCACCTATTTAAACAAAATCTCTTTTACTTGGAGACTCTCAACACCAAGCAGAAGCTCTACCACAAAGTAAGTGCCCCTCCTCTCAGAAATCGGTTTCTTCATCAGAGGTGTCCCGGGCCGGGCTGAGTCCCACCCTTCTCAGGTCAGCACTGCAGAGCATGACGGGAGCCCTGCCGGCTGTCACTCACCCTGGTCTCTGTCTGTCTGCAGAAGATCTTCCGGACCACCATGCTGTTTCAGTTTGTGAACGTGCTGCTCCAGGTCCTGGTTCACAAGTCCCACGACCTTCTGCAGGAGGAGATTGGCATCGCCATTTACAACATGGCCTCTGTGGACTTTGATGGCTTCTTTGCAGCCTTCCTCCCAGAGTTCCTGACCAGCTGTGACGGTGTGGATGCCAACCAGAAAAATGTGTTGGGGCGGAACTTCAAGATGGATCGGGTGAGGAGAGAGAGAGAGAGGCCAGGCTGAAGTGAGGGCAGGTGTGGGCTCTCCAGCCAGCGCTTGTTCGGTGAGGCAGGGGCAGGCTGCCTTGTGCGTGGTTGTGCCCCTGGTAGTGGTGGCTCCACTGTAGCTCGTGCGGCTCCCGGATGACTCGGTGCTGTGGCTGGCTTGAGGGGCACATGCTCTCCCCCAGCGGTGGCTTCTGCAGCACGTATGTTCTTCGTTGCAGCCACTGGTACTCAGGTCCAGCCCCAGCTGTCCATCTGATTAGTCTCAGCTTCTTTGTACTCACTATGCCCTGTCGAGCACACCTCCGACTGGGGCCCAGCTGTTGTGTCCTCATTGGTTGTGAATCAGTTACAGCTGAACTTGCAGACAGGCTGAGAAAGAAGATTGATTCTTGGAACTGCGTCTCTGGGTCCCCAGGGTTGGAGGTGGGGCCCTGGACTCTTTCCAGATGCCAGGCTCTGCAGGGGCTGACCTGCTGCCGGGTCTTGGGAGGAGCCCTCACAACACACACGCTCTTGCCCCCAGCGGTCCACCCGGGGAAGATGAGGTGGGGCTGTCCTGCCTGTGCAGCCCCTTGGGTGGGAACTGGGCTGGTGAGGTCTCTAGATGCGCACGAAGCCGTCGTTACTAGTGTGTCTGGGTATAGTGGTACCCAGCCTCTCCTGTCCCAGGGCCTCTTTTCTGATTCCTCACCTGCCCTCCTCCTTCCTATGTCAGCTGTTAAGTCTCTGCTTCTCACCTGAGAGGCTCTTCCCGGAACTTCTCCTGTAGAATAATTTTTGTCTTTCACCACCTCACACTTGATACAGTGACATCTTCTCTTTCTCCCACATCCTCTTGGTGTTGCTGACCCTACTCCTGCACACGAGCAGCCTGTCCACGGTTCCACTTCAGCGTTCAGGGTTACATGTTGCTCTGGCTGGAGCAAACTCTACTTATTCCTTGCAGGTCTCACCTGTTAAATGTGTCAGGAGAGTTCTTTCTCAGACTCAGCTCCTGTCTTCCTTTGACTTGGAGTCTTTCTCTCCTTTGGATCGATCTTGTTTTCTCCTGAGCTTGATGTTCACGTCAGCTACTTGGGTATTTTGTCATCTTTGTCCTGGAGGCCAAATCCTAATATTTAATGATCAGTTTCTGATTACATCAATATCAGTCAACTTCTCCTCCTCCCTCCTCCCTCTTCCTCCTCCTCCTCCTTTTTTTAAGTCAACTTCTTGATTTAAAGTGATTTCCACATCTAGGTATGCATCAGAGCTCCTGGGGTGCTTATTAAAAATGCGTAAATGTACTCCTGTATTCGATTCAAGGAACTCGAATTTGGCATTTGGGAGCCACTGATTAGGAAAACATCCCTTGGTTTGTTTTCTTGAGGATGAAATAAGTAAAGAAATCAGCACCTTCACTCATTCATCCACTGTGTATCTGAAGTTGGCTGCCTCTCTGGCCTTGCACCAGGTGTCCAGAGCTCCCCACTCCCTGCCTTCAAGGAGTCTTGCTGGAGAGACAGGCAACAGCGCCCTCTGTGGACCACACTGAGCCAAGCACCTTGTGTGCTTTCCAACAGCTTTCTCAAGTGTCAGTCCTGTTAACCCCATTTCACAGATGAGCCCAGGCTCAGAAAGGTCAGCAGTTAGTTGGCAGTTACAGAACTTGGGACTGATAGAGCTGGGAAGCAGGCTCCAGAGCCTGCACGCACCGTCCACAAATACAGTGAGCCCAGGGCCTTGGAGCAGAGGCGCCAGCCTAGCGCACTGGGGCCAGGAAATAGATGTCCGAATGGCCTTTTTGGAGGGGGCAGGCTTTGAGCTGAAGTTTGAAGCGGAGGAGAGATTGGCCAGGTACCTGGAGCCCTAGGTGGAAAAGGTGCTGCAGACGTGGCTGGGCTGGCCGTGGTGGGGGGAGGCGTGCGTTGGCAGCCACACCAATGCTCACGGGTGACACCAGGCTGGATCCCCTCCCTTCCTGTCTGTGTGACCTCCGCCAAGTCTTCATCTCTCCGAGCTTCCCTTTCTTTACCTTTAAAATGGTGGTACTGATGAGCCTGAATCACAAGCTGGTGTGAGGATTAGATGAGTTTGTACCTGAGTTGCTTGGGACGGGGCCTGGCACGTGGTGGGCTCTCGGGGAGCATTAGCTGTTGTTCCTTCTCCCACCGTGCCTTTACTGACACAGTGGGGCAAGAGTGAGTAGAAGTTTCGAGTTTTGTAAAATGCAGATCTCCAGGGTGCGCTGTGGGGTAGAAGTGGCTGGGGGGTGGGGGTGATTTGGGGTGTTGGGTGGGGCTGGGCTGCAGCTGTGCCCCTGCCTTCCAGGACCTGCCCTCGTTCACCCAGAATGTGCACAGGCTGGTCAACGACCTGCGTTACTACAGACTCTGCAACGACAGCCTGCCCCCTGGCACCGTGAAGCTCTAGGCACAGCCTGCTCACCGCCCGAGGGACGCCAGCTCCCGCCACTGCACCACCTGCACCTGCTGCCACAGGCGTCTCCCAGCCAGGCCGAAGCAGCGTGGCCTGCCCCCGCCCTCCTCCATGCTCCTCTCCTGCCACCTGCCCAGCAGAGCTGGCTCCAGGGTGTCCAGCACTGGTTGGAGTGCCCGGGGCGTTTGGAGCAGGCAGGGGTCACGCAGCCAGGTACCAGGGAGGCACCGGGAAACCCCGTGGGGTGGTCTGTGCCGACCATGCGTGTGTCAGTCATGAGGCCGAAATGCCAAGGACAGCTGTGACGGTGCCACCTTCTCACCATTCCACCTCCCCACCCCTCCCCGGCCCAGCCGGCTCAGGAGAGGCATGATGTTGGAACTGTTTGGCACTTCTGTCAAGCCTCTCCCCTCTTCCCCCCTCAATTGCCTTGAAGTCTCTGCTCTTTGTCGGAGATTTGCAGACTCGTGGGTTTTTTTTGTTTTTTGGGTTTTTTTGTTCTTGTTTTCTCATCATTCCATTGTGATACCAAGAAACTAAGAAGCTTAATGAAAAAATAAAATGCTTATGTTGTTGTTATATAAATGCTGGTTAGGGAGGTTTTTTTCCCACTCACAGCTTCCTCCAGGGCCAGCATCCAAGTGAAGGGGACCCTCCTAGTGGGGAGCAGGGCAGTGAGGGAGAGGGCTGTGCCCTGGAAGAGCCTGCCAGGGGAGGACTGACTTGGGTGGTGTCTGGTGATGTCCCGTCCTCTTCTAGATAATGTCTTTCACCCTGAGAAGATGCAGGGTCCCGTTTCTTCTGTTCAGGGAGGGTAGGGGACTTGGTCTTAACTGACAGTTGGCATAGTGGTGGAGGTGGGTGTGGAACCAGGTGGTGTCCACCCTCCTGCTCCTCAAAACGTGGGCTCCTGCTCCTTCCCCTCCCAGAGAATGGACCCCTCGATGGACCAGCATCTCGCCTGAGGATGGCCGGGACGTGGAGTTCTCTTGATGAAGATTATCTGAGAGTGGTGGTTGGAGAGGGGAGGGGAGATGGTGTAGCCAGCGGGGGGAGTAGGTGGGACTCAGGGCTCACTGGTTTGGCCTTGGTCAGCTGTTCATGTGTGGAAATGGACTTGTCCTCGAAGTTTCTGGGAAAATGGATCAGCAGTTCCTCCTGCTTTAGGTGTCACAGGGACTGGACAGACAGGACTGGGTAGCTTCTAATGAATACCATGCCAGGAGGTTCGCTCACCTGAAAATGAGGGTAAGGGTGTGTTCTGTGAAGGGGAGGATGGCCATTAGCTAGATCGGGGGAGGAAGGGAGTTGGGGGCCGAGGGCTTCTACTTCTGAGATCATTCTGTACAAGAATCACTTTGGGTGGGAATGGGGACCTGGGCTGAGTCTGAGCAACATGTGAGGTGGGGTGTGTGTGCGCACAGCCCTTGCTCCGTATCAATCACAGCCTCCCAGCTGCAGCTAGCCTCACTAAAGAGTTCATAGAGGAGGAAATTGAAACTTCAGTCGCTCTTCTATAGAAGGAAATTAACATCCAATTATTCCCAGGCTGTAAATACCTCCTCACCTGCCTGCTAGGGAAGGCCAGGAGCACTCTCAATGCCTGAGATTATGAAAGGGCTTTTTGAGTGCCTAGAGGTGGAGTGGGTGAGGGAGATGGGTTTTGTCACCTGTGAATCCTACCCTTGGACAGAACACAGGCAGGACTTGGGATGGTAGGGGAAAGGCCTTGAGGACTAAGGTGGGCTGGGATGGAGGATTTTTCTCAAAGACTGATGGGCACAGCGCAGCTGTATGGACTGTGTTGAGCTCCCAGTCCTTGGAGGTGGGCATAAAGAGGCTGGGTGACCTGCAGGAAGGGTCCCACCCCTGGGATGGAGTCAGATTTCTGATCCGATTCCTCTTGACTGCAGTGCCCCATGTAGGGGCTGGCACAGAGCAGGCCTCAAAGAAGCATGGTGGAATTGGATGAGTTCTCAAGCCCTTGGCAAATCCAGAAACAGCCCTTACATGCTGAGGACGGGGATACGGGAAGCCTAGAGATGGACCAGAGGGAGACTTTAGGTCAGTCTCAGCTGGGGACAGATAATGGCTGGGAAGTTTTTCAGCCACCTTTGTGTGCAAGGAAGCTGTCCTAGCTCCATTCTGGTCCCCCTGTCCAGCTTCCTCCCTAGGTTATATCATTTGCATCCTGCAAAGAAAGGCGCAGTCAGTGGCTTTGGGAAGGAAGGGATCTGGTGAAACATTTATCTTCAATTTATCTGCGATTTCCAGTATTTTCCTCCACTGCCTACCATTGGCCTTATGCAATGAGGACTGACTTTTTTAACAGCTCTTTTTTTTCTTCGACTATAAAATGTAGAAGAATATGTGGAAAATGCAGAAAACTGGCAGTGGGGCGGGGGGAGCTAATCCCAGTTCCCAGAGAAAACCAATTAATATTTTGGTGAATTTTCTTCCCAGATTTCCCTATATGTGTGCAAATATGTATGGTTTTCCATTTCCTTTTTTTTCTTTACACACTGAGTTTCTGTTTTTGTAGTCTTCCAAAAATGTACCTAACATGACCATTTTTCTCATTACGTAATTCTGTGAAAACATTATTTTTAACAGCAGATGGTATTCTATCATATGGCTGTACCGTGGTTTGTTTATAATTTTTCTTATTACAAATGAGGCTGCAGTGAGCATCCTTCTACATAAATCTTGGTGCTCGTCTGATTATTTCCATAGGTCCAGTTCCTGTACGTGAAATTGCTGGGTCACACATTTTTGAGGCTTGTGATATCACTGGGGCCCAATTTCTATTCAGAAGAAGGATAAAATTTAGAGACTTCAGAGCTGCAAAATGCCTGAGCTGTAAGGCTCCGCTGGGACCATTTGACCAAATCAGCCCCTAGTTTTGTGGGTCCCCAGAACTCTGAGCCCCAGGGCCTCTTGGCTGGTTGGTGGCGGCCTAACACTTCTGAGGAGCATCATTGTCCCAGACTGACCCCCCTGCAGGGTGGCTGGAACTGGGCAAAGGAGAGAGCTTATAGTTCCAGTTGGTTCCTTGAGCCTTGACAGGAGCCATGATTGATGGTGGCTCAGCAATTTACCCAAGTTACTGAGTGCCTCTGTGAGCCAGAGACTGGCCTGCGAGTGAAGGATTTGGAGATTAATAAGACACAGCCTGTGTCTGCAAGGAGTTCACAGACCAGTGAGGAGGCAGGCAGGCAGACCTTTGCAGAATCTAAGTGCTAAGTACCGTGATGGGGGTTAGGAGTCCAGCAAATGGACACAGGGTTGTAGAGGGAACTAGGGGAGGGCCGGGAGAAGGGGTGCCTTCACTGCTGGTGACGATCATCTGAGCAGGTCCCTGAAGGATGGGGAGGAGCTCGCCCGTGGGCAAGTGGTGTGGAAAGGGTGAAGACACAGGTGTGACGGCATCTTAAGGCTGGCATGCTGACTGCAGACATTTGAAGATTGCCGTGAAGCTTGGGTGGAGAAATGGGTAGTGACGGTAGAAAGAGACACCATTAGCAGTAATTCTGGGACAACAGGTGTGCGCTGGAACTTCAGTTCTCCCAAATCCTGGAAGGGAAACTGCCCCTGTGAGGCTTGTGTCATGGAGGACAGGTGACCCCTGGTGTCCTTCCTTCTAGATTCACACGCAGCAGCCTGGCTCCTGCAGAGGGATTGGCTCTGAGCTGGTCCCAAGCACTGAGACAAACAGATGACAGGCAATGTCATATTCGTCCCAGCAAGCATTTTGACTAATTTGGGTCACCTCTCCACCAGCTCTTGGGGGAAAGCTGGGGTCTTCCCTGACCCTCTGGACCTTAGCTGGCTGTCGTCCTCCAGGTCCTCCTCTCCTCGGAAGCTCTCATGCACACCCCTTGACGGTGAGGCTTCCTTACTGGCCCCATGGCACCTGTGTCCCCCACCGGAATGAGATCTCCTGGAAGACAGGGGAGCGTCTGTGTCCCCAGCACTCAGTGTAGGACTGGGCCGGGCCTGCAGCAGGTGCCCCCAATATTGAGTGTGAGAATTTTCCAGATCTATCCAAGTGGGTTTTTCCCTGGGGTCACACTGAGGCCTCTTTTCTGATTTTGAACATAATGAAGCCACATCCTTCATATCTGCTCAACACTCCTGGCCTTAATTTTAGGGCTCCTTGGGGAAAAGCACTTGAGTAAACGGCTCTCCAATGTAGGGTTTCTTTAGCTCAGGGATTCCCTTTTCTGCTCTTCCCTGTCTGCATCATTTGGAAACATCTTTTAAAAGCCATGTTAATTGATTGGCTCAGGCCCTTGATGGGGCGGTCGGTTTCACCGCAGACATGGGATATACGGCCTCCTGGGTCTAAGCTGAGAATCTTGTGTGGTGCCAGCTGCGGGGGGCAAGAGTGGCGGAAAATCAATTATTTAAACACATTCAGCAGCTCCACAGGGCTGACATAGGTGGGCAGTTTGGCAACAGGTATATTCTCCTTTTAATAATAAACTTTAAAAAGTGGCACACGTAGGGCAGCCTGATTGCTCTGTGTGCGGAATCACCATCAAGAGATTTTGGAGGAATAATTTTTTGGCATTTGGCAGCTGCGGATCACTGGTCCTGGCACCCCTACTTATAAGTCTCAGATAAAAGGGCAGTGTTTGACAAAAAAAAAAAAAAAAACCAAAAACACTTTGCTTTTTGTCTCTTTATGATATAAATAATACATGTTTCTTTCTGATAAACAAAAAGAAGAAACTAAAAATCTCAAATCATTTAATGACTCAGGTGGGCTTCCAGACCTTTCTCTGCTTATGCACATACACCCACCCACTCACCTCTCAGGGTGAATCAGACGATGTTACACGTATGGCAGGGCTCTGCCCTCTTCAGCCTCTCCGCATGTACACAACTTTCGGTGGGTCACAGACCCCCAGAGACCCCAGTCTAAACCATGACTGGGGCCAGTGGGCCCCTTGAACGTTGCGGAACGTAACCTGTGTCCTCATCTCTCAGGCCCACGATAGTGTCTGAAATTAGACGTGGCCTGAGGCCAGAGACTCATCCAAACTGGCCTGGAGGTGCAGCTTCTTCCGGAAAAGCCAGGACGGTTACTGTTGTCATTCTTGGAGCCCTGAGGAAGGCTTAATACCCACGTGGCCTGAGGTCAGGAGGCTGCGACCAGCCCATGCCCCCACCCCCCGGCTCTCCCTGCTCAAATCCATGACTTCGGATTCCCCCGGAGTCGCAGCGACCTTGCTTCCAGCCTCTGAAGGGCACTGGAGTAGAAGTGATTCAGACTCCGGAGAAGGATGTGCCCAGCATCTCAATCTTTTCCCACTGCTGAGCCCGCCTGGGGCGGGGCCAGGAGCCCTGAGGAAACTAGGGGCTTTCGTCACATTCCTGATCTGCACTGTGGCATTTCCAAAACCGGTTCCCACCTCCTCCGCTGCAGGAGGAGACAAGCCACCACTGCCTTCCAGGTGCCTGCTTTCTGCAGTCACCCACACCACTCCCTTAAGATTCCCCTGATTTCAGAGCAAATGCTTACAGATGAGATGATTGAGACTCAGAAGTGACTTGCCCGAGGCTACACAGCAGGCCATTGG